ACACCTCCTCATCGTGGTAGATGCCTTCTCCAAATGGCTCGAGGTGGTGCCCATGGCATCTACCACAACAGAAGCGACGATCCGAGCCCTGCGCCGTCTGTTCGCCACACATGGACTACCGGACGTGCTGGTCTCGGACAACGGCCCCCAGCTCACATCCCTGGCCATGGAGTCCTTCCTGGCAGGACTGGGCATCCGCCACGCCCTGTCCGCCCCGTACAGGCCGGCCGGAAACGGACAAGCTGAACGCATGGTCAGACTCACCAAAGAAGCCCTCACCAAGATGGGCCCGGGAGACTGGCAAGAACGCATAGACAACTTCCTCCTCACCCAGCACATCACACCACATGCCACCACCCACAAGAGCCCGGCCGAACTACTAATGGGCAGAAGGTTGAGGTCACCCCTGGACCGGCTGCACCCCCAATACAGCCCGGAAGTGACCGCAACCGCCAGCCGCCCGCTTCGCGCCTTCAGCAAGGGAGATTCAGTTTTCACGCTGAATTTCAACGGCTCTCCTAAGTGGCTGAAGGGGAAGATTGCCAGCACAACCGGCCCCAAATCCTACACCGTCGAGTTGGAAGATGGGCAGGTCTGTAGACGCCACATCGACCAACTCCGGAAAAGGTGGGGGGGAGCACACGAAAACCAGCCTGATGAGGGAGGCCTACAACACCCAGACGAGGTAGGCCTCCAACACCCCGGCGAGGTAGACCTACCACACCCAGACGAGGTAGGCCTACGACACCCCGGCGAGGTAGGCCTACCACACCCCTGCGAGGCAGAGCAACGCCATCCCGACGAGGTCGGCCCAGCTCACTACCAGGTACTGTCACGTCAGCAGTCCAGCGAGGTAGACCGGGGCCAACCGCTCGGGAGATGGCAACACCAACCCAGCCAGGTGGGCACCTGGCACAGCAGGGCCAGGGACCACCAACCCAGCCCGCAAGTAGACCGGGACCTGCCCAGAGAAGGAGCAGCGCACCCCACCAGTGATGGCAGCCTACACCAGCCCAGCCAGGGAGACCGCAGTTCTAGGCGAGTAGACCGGGACCCAGCCAAGACGGGCACCCCACTACCCACGGGCGAGGGTGGCACACGACTCCCCGGCGAGAGGGACCCCCACCTATCTCAGAGGACAGCCAGCGAACAACAACCCGACCCGGATGACCCCAGGCACCACCCGATGGTAGACCAGGGACTAGGGGAAAGGGAAAGCCGACAACAACCCGGCCAGGGAGACCTACACCACCCCGGCAGGGGAGACCTCCGCCGCCCCGCAGAGGTAGTCCCGCAACAACATCCCGACCAGGTCGACCACCACCAACCAGACGGGGTAGACCAATGCCAGCCCAACCGAGGGGACCAACGCCACCCCTGCGAGGTCGGACAGCACAACGCAAGCCAGTACCAACCGCGACCGGCTGACCGGACCCGAGGGCACTGAGCGGAACCACCACCCAACCGGCAGCAGGCCGAACCGCGACCGAACCGCAGCGCCCGGGAGACCAGGGAAGAGCAAGCGACAGACTTACCGAGACTCAGACGCTCTTCCCGGGTTGGAACCGAGCAATCGAGACGAGGCGAGAGATCCACAGGCCAGGAGGAAGACCAACAGAACCAGCCATCCAAGGTCTGCGGTCCGGCCGGAGGCGCTGGGGGTGACCCCGCTCACTCGACAGCCGAACCGAGCCCGGTTCCGGAGAGGGAACCAGGAGACGAAGGAGCCCCGTCCATCCAGGCCGGGGACGGAGAAGAAGTGAGACTGCGCAGGTCAGCTAGGGTGCCGAGGCGTCCTACGTACCTGCGTGATTACGTGACTTTTGTGGACGAGATTTGACAGTTCGGACTAAGGGGGGAGGAGTGTTATGTCCTTATAAGGACATCCGCCCGGATTGGCTGCGAGCCATCGGGCGGGAGATTTGAATCCCTGTCAAGGGGCGGTGCGTCTGCCGGGAGCGAATATAAGGAGAGCCCCGGCAGCGCACCTGCAGTCTTGTCTTTACTTATGTAGCTAATAAAGTTACTTAATGTATCGAGCTGGTCACGTCTTCATTTCCTGCGCCTGATCCAACACTAACATTTTATATAATTCTACTTTAGTTACGGAAATTCTTTCTCTGTCTGTGCTATCCACAACAAGTATCATAAACTCAGTATTTGTATAATATGTGTTCCATGATGATCGAAGAGATTTTTAGCCTCCAATATCCCACATAAGAAAACGTGTATTATTAAGGTTAGAAACCAAGAGTCTAAGATCCAAGATTTATAATCTTTTTTGCTTTGGAGAGCTCAAGGCTCTTCCCCTCCTTTCGATGGCCGATGAATACACTGTCTCTGAGGTGAAAAAGATGAAAAAGTATCCCCAGGGATGCAGAGTTACCTTGACTACCTTAAGCTTTTCTGTAGGAAACATTCATTTCTTTTCTACATTATTCAGAGGGATAGTGAATTTAGATTGAAATTCTATGTATAACAGAAAAGCCAAAAATCTAAACTCTCCTGTGAGCTCAATTCCTGGTGACTACATAATATGTATGTTTATATTATTCGCCTGGCAATAAGACACTAGTGTTTGGCATTGCCTTCTGATGGTTTTTTTTTTATTATTCTAATTTAGGCTACCTCTAGTTAGTACCTCTATTAGACATGCTGAGGGTTTGCAGACTGGTATTTTGCGGCAGCATTATGCATTCATATTGACTGGCACACAGAACAATCTTTTAACCAGGGCAGCAACAATATTTTTTTTATTTATTTGTAATTATTTTAACAAATAATTTAAGATGGCAAATGTCCACCACACTTTCTTTCTCTGTATTTCCCCACAACAACCCTGTGAGATGGATTGGGCTGAGAGAAAATAACTGGCCCAAAGTAACCCGGCTGGCTTTCATGGCTAAAATGTATAGAGCTTAGTTTTGTAAGAGCTTTGAGATAAGTGTCTTGGAAGTGAGTAGTTAGGGCTATGCCTCATATAAGAACTTACAAATGGTGTCACTGAACTGTTTTCTTTGCTGAGCAAAGGTATTTTTCATTTGGATGGATATTGAAGGAGCTTCTTTAAATCACAGGGAAATAGAAGGAATGCTTCCTAGTAAATCTTTGGATTACATTTTAAGCATCAGTATTTCAGTGGAAAAGGTTACTGCCTATGGAGGCATTTTCCGTCAACACCATCTTCCATAACTAAATACAACATTCCTCACCTACTCAGCCCTTCCATCACCATCAATCTTGGCCATGATTACACGATAAATACAGCCTTTTTTTTAATCAGCTAATATAGTCTGAGAAGCAAAGGCAGAAGCAAATTTTTGTGCTCAGACCTGCTCAATCTTTATTTGGTTCCTTGAGCTAAGAAAGCAAAACTGATTAGCCCTCTTCAATTAGAAAAGCATATGCTAGTGGAAAGGAAGATTATGCATTAATCTCCCCAGAGGAGAAATGACCATGAAAATTATACCAGCTTGCAATTTCTACAGAAGGCAAACAAAATAAAAACATATCTCAACAAACATTGCTTAATTTGCAGGAATGAAATATCTTTTAAGAAGACATATAAAACTTTTTGCTATGAAATCTGTAAGTGTTACATCATCTTTTAAAATTTAAACATTATTTGTTTTAGAGTCTAGGACATGTATTTGTTTCTGAAGTGGGAAAGATACAATACAACTTTTACTGCCTAACTTTTATGAAAGGAACAATTTATCTGAAATGAATCAACTGTCAATATCATTGTATAGCAGATTCCAGATATTTCAAAGTTAGTGGTGTGGGGTGTTTTTTTCTTTTATCTGCTAAATATTTTAGAGATTTCAATGGTGGACTAGAAGTTACCAAATATACCAGACTCCCCTTGTCGTGCCAGACTGATTTGGCAAATAATCTTTATTTTTATTTAATTAATCAGAAATAAGCCATTAATTAATGAAAAATTAGTATGTGTGAGTTTTCAAAACATCAAACCTTCTCCCCTCTTTCTTGTGTTACTTCATTTTGTTTCATTCTTTAGGAACCATTTTACCAAAATACAAATAGATTTGGGAGCAAATGACCCATAAAACATTATTCAAATTACTGTGTTTCTGTCAAAGCTTCAATATCTCCACAATTATATTGTCCTCACAATAACTTGCATTAAAGCTCGAATTTTATTGGATTGATTTCATTTCTTGAAAAGGATACTTATCTTTTTCTTACACTTTTGGGATTAAGCATCAGGGGAGGTTGTTGGGGGTGTTTTAGTTTAGGAACATTATTCAAAGAATGATCTCCTGGGAAGGACACTCTATTTTTTGAATACAGCATGAGGTTAATACTCACTTTGTATGGGTAGGTGCACTAAAGGAAGAAATGAATACATAAAACATCTGATCCCAACATTTGTGGCTTCAAAACACAATTCCTAGCATCCCTGTCCACTGATCATCTGGTTGAGGTTGATGGGAGTCCTATCCAAAACACAGTTGAAGAAGACTACACTATAACAAGTAGGGTACATTCAATAGAAGCCTTAAAAAATCTATTTCTAAAATATATGGAGTATTAAGGAGTGGGTCATGGAGTGGGAGGCAACGCTAGCAGATTGTTCCTCAGCCATTTACAGTTTAACGAGAACCACCCAACCAACCGGTTTGTCACCAAGATTTGTTTCCACAGAAGCCAATTCGGTCCAAAAAATAAGAACCGGTTTATCAAGCATTCGGAACAATAGATAGTATAAACAGAATAATGATATACCATCCAGGCGGTTTTCCAGCCATCCAGGCAGTTTTCATTCCTGGGCAAGGCGGGCCAGGAGAAAGCGAAATTCCTTTATAGTCAAGCGCAGCTGCTACTGAAAAACACTTCCAGACAGCCGCCTTTTTTGGAAACGATCATCTGGACCCTTTAATAAGCCCTTGAGAGGAGAAGGGCGGCGGGTATAGAAATGGGGGTGCGGCCGCGGCGGCAGGCAGGGAAAGAAGACTCCGATTTAGCTCAGAACTCACCTGAAAATATCATTTGGACCCAACGTCAGCAGACATTCTCACCTGCCGGCCTCATGCGGACTTCCAAGCGGCTTCATAGCAAGGCGTCGAAAAGCCAGATCCAGAGATCGCCCTCTAATGCTGGCGTCTTTTGGGGAGTCAAGGGGACGGGAACCGACTACGTAGGCGTGCCTTGCGGAAACAGATAGCGCCGGCTCTTTTGTAGAGGTTTGGTAAGGCTAGGACCGCGCACGGCTTATTAGTTACGGAGTCCTGTTTTTCCCCGCCCCCAGTAAAGCTGCTTTGTATTCCACTTTGAGCGATTCGTCCCGTCCAGTCCCCCCGCAATTATCCCCGCCCAATACGACATTGGTCTTCTACAATGCTGTGTCGCTCTCCGATCCCACCAGCATCTCGAAGTGCGCTTGTTTGCTAGCGGATAAGCTTGATCCTCCTTGTGCCAGACTAAATGTTCTCTGGTTGAGGCGGCTGGCAGGCAAATTGGTTGCATCTTGCGAGACCCGCTCTCCGGCCTCGTGGAAAACCGGATTAAAAAAACAAAACAAATGTAGGAAAAGGAAAGCAGTGCTGGCAATGATCTCTGGGGTGATCCTTTGTGGGCCTCAACAATTTTAATGAGCTGATAATTTATTTAAAGAATGTAATAATCTTGGGCCCACTTAAGCCCATTGATCTCTACCTCAGGCAACCAGATCTTAAGTGGCCAAAATAGCCAAGGGTAAGCTGTTCCATTATTCCTTATAGGCATCATTCAGATTGAGGAGAGTCAGGAAGCTCTTATTTAGTATTTAGCTTTGAATTCAGTAGCTGCATTCATTCAAAGCAATCAGGTTTAGCTATTGTTTAATTCTTAAGGGATGACTTCACAGTGCTACTGCATATTAACAAGATGTGCTTTGTTTTTTGTTTTTGTCTCTTGACTTCTTTTGCTATTGTGTGTTTGGTTTTAAAAAGTAAAATACACAATAAAAATTATTTTTTTAAAAAAACAAGTTGGATTTGGCCTTACTACAGTGCATGAGGCTAGCCATTATTTTGGAAAATAGATCAAATGGCCTTTAAAAGGTAAAGATAAAGGTTCCCCTCGCACATGTGTGCTAGTCGTTCCTGACTCTAGGGGGTGGTGCTCATCTCTGTTTCAAAGCTGAAGAGCCAGCGCTGTCCAAAGACGTCTCCATGGTCATGTGGCTGGCATGACTAAACGCCAAAGGTGCACAAAATGCTGTTACCTTCCCACCAAAGGTGGTCCCTATTTTTCTACTTGCGTTTTTTATGTGCTTTCGAACTGCTAGTTTGGCAGAAGCTAGGACAAGTAACGGGAGCTCACCCCCTAACGTGGCATGAGGGATTCAAACCGTTGAGCTGCCGACCTTTCTATCGACAAGCTCAGTGTCTTAGCCACTAAGCCACCGCATCCCATTAATGGCCTTTAGCTTTGCTTAATTCTCTTTGTTTGGATATGGCAAAACAGTTTTTTCCTTCTTTCTGTGTCTTTTTCCTATCCAGTATATCTTTCTTAGAAAAAAAAAACCTGCATATATATTCTCTTTTCTGATCAGGGTGGTTGGGAGAATAAGAGAGAAAAGGAGATGCAGCATTGCTTATAAGCCTTCCCCCAATATCAAATGAGCTGTTGGAAGAAAAATCCGCTCCAGTTCCAAGCCAGGAGAAAGGCACTGGAAATAAAATGGAGGCCAATTGGAAAGAACTCTGTTTCTTTTAATACCTTTTTCTGTTTTCTTGTTATATTTTCAATGTTTTTCCAGATTGTCATCCACCAATATTTAACTGCCTCTATCAAATGAATTTATATTAAATCGTTCCCTTCCATTCCACTATTCAATAGTTTAGTAATACAATAATTCAATAATTCAAATTTTTATCTGTTGCACAAATCTATCTTGTAATAAGTCACTTATTAATCAATTAATAGTTAAACTAATTTGAACTAAGATAACCCTCTCACCTGCTACCACTACTTAAGCAAATTATCTTTACCTACTCTTATTTAACACTTAAGCACTGATGACTTTCTAATATATCTTAAGCAATCTAAGTACACATATAGATAATTAATTATGCAATCTCAATATTCAATATTTTAAGTTATAAAAAGCTAATCAAAATTAATAATCAATAATTGAAAGAAGAAGAAAGGAGGAGAAGAAAAGGAAAAATCCAATTATAGAATATAAAAGATTATAGCGTATATAAATTCCTTAATAAAAAAATCTAAAAAGTACTTAATAAATTTTAAATAAGTTCACAATTAATTTAGATTATCTAAAATGGAATATGTAATATATATAATATTAATATAGATATATACTTGTAGATATATAAATTTTCTAATGTTTTTTTTTTGTTGTTGTTATTTGCCCAACTCGTTGATTGATTAATTGCTCAATAACTTCTCTCAATCATAAAAGAGCAAAGGGGAAAAGCAACCAAAAATATAAAAAAATTATTTTACAATGATGCAGCAGGCACGCTTTGCTGTATGATCTGCTTCGCGTTGCTCTTAAGTTCAATCACTCTCCATTTGCATTGTCATTCAGATTTCATCAGCCATGTTATCTTCCCCAAGTGCTCCTTCTCAGTCTCTCAGCTCAAGACAGTCTTATTATTAGTCCTGACAGCTACCGCACTTCCAAAATCCAGTTCCTTTATTCAATTAGTCTATTCCACACTCTTAACTTTCCAAAGTTTGTTTGCTCAAAACAAAGTATCAATCCAATCCACTGAAGGCTCCGTCTCCCTTTCTAAAAGTGTCCTCAATCTCACCAGCACGTCTGCAATTTCGTCTCCTACCAATCTTCTCCAACCTCACAATCGCCGCCAATTCCTTCCAGGTTCCTTCCTTCCACGGTGACAAAAACAGGAAAGAAAACATCCTCAAATCCCACGATCACAACGACATCACCTGCTACACAGAAATTGACTGAAGGTTTCTCTAAAATGGAGAAATCAGGAATGCTACCCACAATGCAAGCAATGCAATCAACATTGACAGCAATACAGGACACGATGATTATGTTACAAGAAAAAATGTCTAGTAACCATACTGAATTGAAGACAGATATTAGGGCATTAGATCAAAAAATGATTGGTATACAGGAATCGATACAAACTAATACACAGAAGATTAAAAAGATGGAAGTTAAAATGGAACAACAGGAAAAAAATTTAGATACGGTTGACCAAAAACTGATGGAACAGAACAGGGAATTGGCAGACTCAATTACCCAATTGGAAATGGATCGAGCCTCCTTCTATCTCCGTTTCCAAAACATTGCGGAAGATAAGGAAGAAGATCTGTGCCAGGTGATGGCAGAATTAATTGCTGAGGTGTTGCAACAAGATAAATTGGATATTATAAAGGAAATTGACGAGGCGTATAGGGTCCAGACAAATTGTGCACGAAGAAATAAATTGCCAAGGGAGGTGCATATAAGATTTGCAAGGAAGAAGGTAAAGGATATCCTCTATAGTATGGCAAGAGATGAGCCAGTCATGTATAAGGGAAAGGAGGTGATCATATTGAAACAAATTCCAAGGAGGGTAAGGGAGATAAGGAGAGATTATAGGTTTTTGGCTACTCAATTAAACAAAAGGAATATTCTCTTCAAGTGGATCTTACCAGAAGGCATGTGGATCACGTGGCAAGGGAATAAAGTTAAGATAGATAGCTTAGTAGCAGCTCAAGAGTTCTTGGATCAATTACGAGCGTCTGAAGAGGATCAAAGTAGTAAAGAAGAGTTAGAGGTGGAAACATCGAAAGAAGAAGCAACCCAGCAGATAAGAGAGAAAGAAGGGACATCGAAGGAAAAGGAGGAGGAAGATAAGGATAGTAAGGAGACAAAGAAAGGCCAAAGTCCACAAAGAATCACACGTGCCAAGAAGTATTAGGATAGTATACAAAAATTAAGAGATGGATGATTGGAAATTGATATCGGTTAACGTAAATGGCCTAAACGATAACAAAAAGAGGAAATTTTTTTTTACAAAATTAGCTAAACAAAATATGGATATAGTGTGCCTTCAAGAGGTCCATATTAAAAAGGAAAATAAAAAATACTAACTAAGAATGTAACTGAGGCGCAGAAGAAAGAGATAGAAGGAACTTTGGGCCTACAGGTTGTCCCAAAAATAAAATACTTAGGAATTTGGCTAACCAAAAGGTGTTCATCTCTGAAAGAAGATAATTATACTCCATTAATTAATAAATTAAAACAAGATTTGGATAGATGGAAAAAGATTAAATTGTCACTTATAGGCAAAATCGCGGCAATCAAGATGAACATCCTCCCCAAGATTTTATTTTTATACCAAAACTTACCAGTGATTTTAGAGAAAATTTTTTTCCTAGAATTAAATAAGATCACGAGGGATTTCGTTTGGGAGGGGAAAAAATCGAGAATTTCACTCAAAATCTTACAGGAAAAAAGGAACGTGGGAGGATTTGGACTCCCGAATTGGGAAATGTATTATAGAGCAGCAAAGCTGATATGGATAAGGGAATGGATCACTTTGGAGAATAAGAGAATCTTAATGTTAGAAGGCCATGATTTACAGAGAGGGTGGCATGCGTATTTATGGGACAAAGATAAGAAAAAGAAAACTTACTTCCACAGGCATAAAATCAGGGACTCCCTAATACAAATGTGGGCGGGGATTAGACAGAGATATTATACAAAAGTCCCAAATTGGCTCTCTACGGTAGAGGCATTGATTTATCCCAACAGGTGGGGAATGGAGAAACTGTGCAGATACAAAGACATCCTCGACGGAGGGGGAAACCTTAAATCAAATGATGTCCTGAGAGACCAAGACATAATTTTAGATTGGTGGACTTACATGCAAATAAAATCAAGATACCAGAAAGACAAGGATGAATTTGGTTTAGAATTAGGATACAACGGATTAGACAAAATTCTGATGGGACCAGGAAAAAAAGCGTTGGCCAAGCTGTATAATTACTTATTAGATGAGGATAGAGATGAGGACATAATCAGAAACCAATTGAGAGCGTGGGAGAGAAATATCGGACATAGTTTGAACTTCAACGAATGGGAAGAGGCGTGGAATAAAAACTATAAATTAACTAGAGCAGCCACGTACAAGGAAAATCATTACAAAATGCTTCATAGGTGGCACTTAGCACCTGCAAGATTAGCACAGATGTTCCCCAATGTACACCCAAGTTGTTGGAAATGCGGTCATGGTCAGGGCACCTTCTTTCATATGTGGTGGACATGCCCCGAAGCCAAAAGATACTGGAGCAAAATTCAGAGATGGTTGAAAGACATACTCAAAGAAGAAATTAATTTGAACCCAGAAATATTTCTCCTGGGAATGGTAAAGAAAGGGCATGGAAAGGAAAAGGTCCACCTCCTAATACACATAACTACAGCTGCCAGACTGGCGTACGCTCAATACTGGAAAAAGAAAGACCTACCACCAGATGACCTTATAATTAGCAAAATATTAGAGTGTGCAGAGACAAGTAAATTAACATACGAGATAAGTGATGATGAAAACTCAGATTACGATATGATATGGGGAAGATGGTACGAATGGATAAATGATAGAATCAAGGAAGGAGTTAAAGGTGCGGAAATTAATTAGAAATGTATAGTATAAATGACACCAGATATTTTTTTCATGTATATATGTATAAACACTGCGAATCCGATGTCAAACAAAATTGCTATTATATTTTATTTGCCTTAAAAAAAAAATCAATAAAGTATATATCAAAAAAAAAAAAATATTTGGAATATAAGAAATTGGGGAATCTTTATGCATCCC